ATTGCTTTTAGAGAGCCTACGATGAAAATGAATCTTTTATCGAAAGTATTTTAATTGCGAACCATCGCCGGCTATTCTAGCAATGCATGCAATCCTTGTTTAGATAACCGAGAGTCGAGAGCTCCGTCGTAATAGCTAAACTCACTGACCAAACAGTTTTATTTTTCAGTGCGTTATTAAACTTGCAGCCGGCTTTCGGTGCAGTCGAAGCGCAGCGTTAAATGAAAGAGACGCGCGTGCCACTTTTGCCACAAAAGAGACGGACGGCGTGCTTTCCTCTCTCGCGCGCGCACGGCTAGGAAAAAACAAATGCCGCGAAGCATGTGTCTCATAAGCCAATTATGAGCTACGTACGTACGCGCGTAACGAGGGAAAAGGCCTCTTTGCGCCGAAAAAAGGACGGAAAAAAGACTCGCGAAGAATGAAAAGAAAGTACGCGCGTTGTCGGTCGCAATTACGAGCAGCCGATAAGGAGGCCATATGTACAGGTTCAGCTGTCAACCGCCGACGAGGAGCTCGCGCGAACTTTGATTTTTTCCTCGTTTTTTCGATGGAATATAAGGGCGCGAATCACAATGCGCGCTAATTACGAGCCCGTTCCTCTCGTCGTGGGAAAAGACGCCGTGCATACTCAAGCAGCGAGTTCCTTGCCCGAGCGTGGCGCGAGCGAATTCATCCGGTAAAGGTATACAACGGGGCGCGACTTTGCGTTTCACGCGGCGCAGCGCAGCGCAACGCACACCTGGCGCGTGGATTTCCCGCTCGCGCATACGTCCAGTGGGATGTAGAGATTTGATCGTTCCTGCGGCGTCGATCGAGTGCACGCGTGTCCTTTGTCTTCCGATCGCTCGGCTCGCCGAGGCAAATTACGGACGCGTCGGGCACCGTGTCCCGGGGAGCTTTGCAGCCGCGGAGATACGCCTGTATTTATGGAAAGGTGATTGCACGACGGCTATAGGCGCGTTCTTCTTTCGAATCGATAGGCGCGCGCGACGTCGCTGCGATCTACATAGAGCTTTCCACCGTCGCCGCTCGCCAAAAGGGCAATCGTCGCGATCTCTTTGTCGAACGATTCGCTGCTCGCTCGCCCGTTATCGTGGTGGCGACGCGAGCAATTACATACACCGCAAATGAGGCCTCGCGTCAGACGCGAACCTGCGCGCTCCTGTCCGCTCGCGGGCTAAGGACTTTCGCGCGTACCGCGGCAGCAGGCGCGCATCGAGTCGGCGGATATACCGCACGGCCGTGTGCGCGCGACGTACGGCGGCGTCGCGGGTCACTCACCGCTCCAAGGCCGCACCACCTGTCCGACGTCTGCGTTGATGATTTCAACAAAGACGAGCACCAAACTTGCCCTCCTCTCCTAGAGAGACTGAGCGGGCACTGCGAAATCGCAACCGAACTCACTCAACACACTCGTCACCGATCTTCAAGCCGAACGACGAGAGAGAGGGGGAGAAGCTGCCGAGCAACCGGTTGCACTGCACTGCATCGCGCAGACACACTTTGCGCGTAGTTTTAGCTCGCTGGCTGGCGCGCGACTGCCGAGCGCAGCCGAGCCAGCGATGACTCTCTCTCTCCCTCGCTCTCGAGCCGAGAATGTGTCTGGGTGAACGCGCGCGCGCGCGCGCGTGTGTGCGTTGGCGAAGGGACGCCACCGTCGCTCGCCTGCCTGCTCGCTCGCTCGCTCGCTCGCCCTACGCGCGCAGGAGATACGGACAGTTTGCTTTTTCGGGGGTGTCTGATTCGCTCGCAGTGCAGTAAATTATAGATGCGTTTATTTATCCGCAGGCCCTGAGTGATATTTATTGCTCTTTCGGAGAGCGAAGTGCGCACGGGGTTGTACTCAAGATTCACGGTATAGAGGATCATTGAAGCGCACCGCATGCTTCGCCGTTTGATTGAGACGAATAACTCTTGCGTGAATGGATTTTTCTTCGAAAAGGACCAGAGGGGCGTGTAATCGGGAAAATTATTGACGTCGTTCGAGGGCATCCATTCACACAATAATAATACAATAACAAAACAGGATAATTGCCGCGCTTCCGTCAGCCGAGTCCTTGATGTTTGACGACCGAATGGAATACTGAAGAGGCAGGTTCGAAATGGCAATGATACCGCAACTCCTCGCGAAGAACTCGAGTGACACCGCGTCGCGCAGATTTTCGTATTTCCAGGCAATAAATGATCAAAGGGCAAACATAACTAATCCCGAGCTACTGTAACAAAAGACCGGGCCTATGTGAGAAATGCACGGTCTCTCTCTGCGTGCGCACTTTTAATAAGCACAAGGGGCTGCGCAATCTCCAACACAGCTGCATTCGATCAAACAAGTGCATCGAGAGCCGCGCACACGTATAGGTGGGATACCGACGAAAGGGGTTTGCGAATAAAACAGCCAGTCTCTCTGTGCGTGTGCGCGTGCACGTGCAGACTAGACAACACCCCCGTTGCAGCAGTAGCCGCAGCGCTAAAGCAAGTAAGGCTCGGAGGGTCGCTCGCTTACTCACCACGCTCGCCGCCTGCGTATATACGTACGAGGGGTGACGCGCCCGCGCGACTACGGCGCAGTTCCGTTGGTGTATCTGCGAGATCGTTCTCTCTCTCTATCTCTCTCTCTCTCGTAGATGCTGTGCAACGCTGAATATATTTTAATACATATTGGAATTACCACGGCGCGCTTTTTTCGGCTGGCGAGCAGATGACGCAGCGGCCCATCCCCTCGACGGCTTTTCCTTTTCATTTGCTCGATGGACTTTCTTCCGCGCGCTTCAAGCTTGCGCCCGATGATGAGTGCTCGCGTGAGATGCTGCGGTGAGTCACTGACTGCCGAAAGCACGCACACCAGCTCTTTTTACGATTAGCATCTATAAATTTTATACGGGGTTGCGGCTCTCGTCGGATCCTTTCTAATTTTGCTAATTGAACTTTTTAATTCCTCGTCGCTTCCTCGTCGACATTTGTAAACTGGCCAAGGCCAATGTTTCAAGCGCAACAATTCAGCTTCGAGCATACTGTGTCATTCATTCGCAACTTACTCTTCGTAGAAATACACTTGTTACGAACACAAAATACTCAAGGTCCGGTCACTTTTCGCCGTAAATATATACCTTGCTTTGCAAAAAAAGAAAGGAAGGAGGGGTAGCTAGCTATACATTTCTCCGAGCAATAAACTCGTTCAATCGGTCGATTTTTGTGCTTTACGCGAATTCGAGTAAAACTATAGAGCACAAAGCTATCACGCGAACGATATCTCTAAAAAAAGTCGCCTGTCTCTCTGGCAGGCAAACTTCATAGAGTGACGTGGTTGTTTTTGGTCGTCGCCGGGGTAGCTGGTATCGCGTCGTCGCGGGCGAGCAAATCGAGTAGGTTTGCGTGCCGAAGAGGCGGATGCAAAGCAAGCGACAAGAAGAACTGAAACCCATCGCGCTGGTGCATAATACTTATATGTGCGAGGGGAGGCGTTGCGAAGTATCATGAGACGGCGTCGCGGATGGTCCTCGAGAGAGCTCTTCTCGAGCAGAGTAGTTGCGAGGCGCCGTGCCGCTAACGAGATGGAACTACACGGCTGCCCGCTGACTAGCTTGCTAGCATTATCTTATGCGCGCGTCGGCCTTCGTCTCGGGAATTCGCTCGCGGAGATTGATCGAGCTTTGAAGCTAGCGATACGAGTTTGTTCCTCTATAGCGAACGCTAGAAAAGCTTCGCTACTTCCCTCGAGATAATCTTCAATTTGCTTCGACGCTGCGTTTATTTGATTATAGGCTTGCAGACTTACTTGAGAGTTCGGTTTTAATTAGCATTAATTTGATTTAACATCCTGATAGATGTGCTTCGTTGATTTTCTCACGGGTTTGTTGAGATTAGCATGCCGAGAATTTGATTTCAAATGAATCTGAATGATTCATAACGAGCGCTGCCGAGTGATATTGGTTGTTCTTCGAAATTTCATTTCGCGTAAGTAGATAAATCCGAATTCGGTCGGACAATCAACGTATTCTAATGTATGCATAAAATCCATTTACACTTTCATTCAAATCATAAGATTACGTATGTATAGCGTGACTAGATTAAATCAACGGAGCTCTTAGTACCGACTGTCCAAAATTTATAACATTTAAGCGATATCTAGTGAAAGTCATTTATCAAGAGTTTTAACACTTAAAAGAGTATTAATATGTAACTATGCACATTAAATAATTTAACATTTTTTCAAAAGAATAAAAATAGTTGTGTCGAATTCGATAACGTTTATCGTAAATACGTTATTTCAGCGCTTGTCTTGCCTATAAAATGGAAAAAAATATTGCCCTCGATTATCAAGTTCATTATTATGCCTAATGGATAACATAAATTTAATTCAAACTACGTTGTCAGTTATTGAAATGCGCGACAATAGGTATACATTCATCGCGAATGTATGTTTAAATAAATGAATATAAATATAAATTAATTATAAATTAATTATATAGATCCGTTTGTTTTTGCATAAAAATTATATTATCACATGATGATACGTTAAGACGTATATATACACTCAAACACTGTATTATCGTATGGTGTTACGTGTTACGTTACGAGCCACGAGGCAACGTCGGAACTACACAGATGGCGCAAGTATGCAGTGTTCGCTTTCGAAAATCACAAAAGTTGGGAAAGTAGCGTGACTACTGTTTACCGTTTTAATTAGTTCATTAAAAAAAAACAGGTTTTAATTTGCCACTTAACGGAAACCAAAACAAGGTTGATAATTTTGCGTTGCAAGGCAACCCAATAAATTTGCATTTAAAGTTGCAATTGGCCGACGTCAGTTTTTATTCATAACCTTCAGATTAGTAAATTACGAAATATATTAAATATCAAGGTACGAATCATTTTATAAAACATCAAAACATATTAACATTAATTAAAAAGCGTCAACACATCCAATTACTCACTTACTCGCGCCCATCGCGCAGATGATTGAGCCGATAGACGGTTTAATTGATAAAGATCGATTCATGGAAGAAATGTACGAACATGAAAGTTGGACGTCATCTGATTCCTACAGAGATTTGTTGATATGTCCGAGTTTTCGGTCTTATTCTTCGCTCGACCTACTTTCTTGTAAAAGTAAAGACGAAGAAGAATGCCGATTGGTTAACTTGAACAATGTTATAAAAAAGTTATTTGACACAATTGATGATCCAATCAAAAAAGAAGACGTTCCTGTTATTTGTTGCTTACTAGAAAAATTTTTGAAATATAACGGTACCAGCGGTTTTGTATCCTTGAAACTGAACATAAAGTCTTTTTCTCGAATAAATGAAAAAATTAGAGTTTAAGTAGTGCAAAGTGCTTGAAAAAATTTTACATAGGTAAAAAAGCCAAACCTTGAGGAAGTCTTGCACGATATTCCTTCGTAAGGACTTGATGAAGTTTACGTAATTTGATTCTCTTAATTGAAGTGAAACTGTAATCTGAAATTGAATGAAATTGTGAAATCAATTGAAATTGGAGTGTAAAAAAGACGTTGCCGAATCAATGAATTTTTTTTACTGTTGGACTGTTTTCACGCTCCTGAATAAAGTTGCGATGCCTCGCTAAGCCTTAACTATAAATAGTATGCCAAACACCTACCGCAAATCGGCGAGATTCTAGAGTTCCTGTCAATGCAAGCGAAGAAAGTCGAGCAGTACCTACATTACCTGCAGCAACTGTTGGAACTCTGCTGCAAGCCATTACTCGTACAATGCATGTCCGAACACTTCAGCATCAAGCCGAAACTGCTACGTTACTCGAGTTTGCTAGGCTACTTGCTGGTACTGGCACCGACGAAGGCCAGCTTCGACACGGTGAAAAAAGCGATCCAAGTGTTCTTGAGTGCTGGCAAGGACGAGGCCGAGAGGACGAGGGAAGACACGGTGAAGCCGGATGTGCGCCACGAAGCCGTGGAACAATCAAGGCTTCCGCTCACCCTCGCCGAGCTCACGGAAGTCGCGTCCACAGAGACTTATCCAGCTGTTTTGCAATTGATTCTCGCAGTCGCATCTGTCTCGCGGATATGCTGTAAATATAACGCACCCACTCGCTCTCTCATCAAACAGGAAAGTCGTTTTTATTGACACATTTAATTTCGAGTATAAGGTCACAGGATGCTGGAAGCCGGCGTCGAGAGTAGAATTCTGATGAGGCTACACCCGGCATATGAATGTGGGTTTGAATCCGCGCCGGTTACTGATCAGACGAATTTACTGCTTGATAAGGAAGATTACGTCAAGACTGCGGAGTACGCTACGAAAATTCTCTGCCGGATGGCGACCTCCATTATGATTTCGGATCAATTGCCAAAGGAACATGAGATCGCTTCGCCGACCAAGCAGGCGATGTGGTGGGTTACGTCGTATTTCATTATTTATCGCCGAAAGCTTGAACGTCGGCGCTCGTAGCTTTCTCTCGAAGCATCGCTGGCGAAAAGTCGACGCTCGACGTCGTCGATAATTTTATTGCTCGAGCGAAAGCTCCGCTGTCAAAATATTTTTCTCGGGCGCTCGCTCGCTGCGCCAAGCCAAGTATCAATGTTTACCCGTCAAACGTACGTCCAAACAGGAGCTTGCGAGCTGCATTCAGGAGGGAAGCGCTGCGAGCCCGTGGAAGTTGGCGCAGCCGGAAGTTGCGTAACGAGCTCGCAAATTTGATTTTGACAGGCGTCACGCGCTCCACGGCTCAATGGGAGCTGGTTGGCGCGGGATTAATCGACGACTTAGCCGGCTTTTTCGTTGCCACCGAGTTTGGGATTATCGACGCTTGGGCCGAGGTCGCTGAAGTCGAGGTGAATAACACCACGGGGCTGGAATTTAAGAAGACTTTGTTGACTATTGTGGCCAGAGTTGTACAACTACTGCCCGAGTGCCATACCGTAAGAATTTTATTTTTCTTTTCTTGGCTATTTTCGGTCTCAACCATGAAGCTATGACAATGTCGCGTTTCTGTTGACAACTGAAGGCCTTGAGAAACAAACATTTGGTGTCCAGCCTTCTTCAGTTGGTCGATCCTACGAGCGGTAAGTCGACAAGAATGCTCTGGAATTCGGAGCAACTCTGGCATCTTTTCAAATATGCCTCGGACGCGCTGACTTACGTCGTTCCGAAATTACCCGACGAATTCATCGAAGACGACGGCGCGCTGAGGTACTACGCAGTCATTCATACTCTATAACGCATCTTCCCCGTAACTCCTTGCATGGCAAGCATATAACCGCCGAAGATGGTTTTTTTTTTCATCGATAAAAAAACAAAATGCAAATGATGATAAATGTTATCTTGCGGGGTGCAAGATTGCTTTCGGTGCTCGAACGATTCACGACGAACGCTGATTATGACAATGCGCTCATTACGTCTTTTACCGAGATGATGTGTTCTCTTTCTCTGGCAAATTGCGATATGATAACGAGGCACATTCGCGAACACGGCTTTATCTCCGTTTCACTCAGTGAGCATCGTTTGTATTGCAATTGAGCCTCGTTTGATAACGGGATTCTGATTTATTAATTTTTTTTCCTCAGAAATGATTAAACGTATTCTTGGCTTGGAGGCGTTGGCGATGAAGCACCAGAGGGTCATCGCGTACTTGCTGGTAACAGTTGAGAATCTCGTGTGCATCGACGACTCTACCGACGAGTGCTTTTGCGAGACGAACATCGAAGCAACGCTCGAGCTGTTGGATCGGTGCTTGCACCAAAGAGTCGAGGACAGCGAACTCGACCAAAGGTTTCCACGCAGACAAAAAAAAAACAAATGGCAAAATTGCCTTTGAAACAGAAACTGAGGGAGATTGTAGTTTTGTGATAGCGATCGGCTGCTTCTGTTGGAAATGCGTAATCCATTGTCCCGCGGCACTTGGCAAGTTCGTGCGAGCAGGCGGACTTTATCAATGCTTGGATATCACGGAACAGGCGAACTTGCCGGCGCAAAACCTCTACCTGGGTCTGCTGGCTGATATCAGCGAGGCGGAGTTTTGCCGGTGCTATTTGTTTTCTTGGAGGCGCGCCGCCGACAAGGGGAGCGGGATATTGTCTCTCTTGGCAGATGTTTGGCGGCACGAGGAGCGAATATTTGGCGTCGAGAGAAGCCGGCAAGGATGCATACTGAGTACGCGTTACAAAGGCTCGCTTATTGCTCGCCGCTTTGCACCTTCCACTCTCGTTCGCCACGGTATTTTCTGCAATTAGACGCGCGGGCGCCGCTGCTGAACGACGAGCAATGGCTCTATGTCAGTTATTTGAAGTCCGCGCGCGACTCGGCCGTACTGAGCACCACGGCCGTCGGCTCGGTCAGACCGAAAATTCACCACTTGCTCAAATTGATCGCGCGCCACGCCGACGCTTATCGCGAAGGTTATTTCGGAAAACTGCTCGACGGGCTCTCCACGGAAGATCGAGTAAACATACAAGCTGCAAGTCGCCTTGGCTATGTAAACTCGTCCGAGCTACCTTTCTCTCGTTCTACTACAGATAACGATCCTGGCGGTCGAGTCGTACTCGGATCTCAAATCCGACGAGGCGTCCGTCCAAGTTTTGTCCCGGCTGAAAATCTCAGCGCTAACCGAATCCCGCAGCTTATTACTCGAGACAGCATCAAAGCTGGACTTATGGTCAGCGCGGAGTCGCGCGGTGCGCGAACGTCAGGACAAGCTCGTGGACGAGTCTTGCGCCACGGAAGCCAAAGAGGAACTCGAGACACTGGAAATGATACGACACGCGGGGCTCAATCCTGCTTTTGATGCGTTGGCCGAGCTCAGGTTCGTAGCTGCTGCCACTGTCAGAAGTTACGAGCTGGCAAAGCTGCGAGAAATGAAGACAATGAAGAATCAACCGGGCCGAGCACTCGTTCGTGGCCCTTTGTTCGAGACTTGCGATTTCGGAGAGAACGTCACGGTGAGAATTCTTTTTCGCGAGCGAAAGTTTTTCTTTTTGCGGTCAAGTCGGTCTACGGCGATTGCGTTCCTGATTCATGCGGTTTTTACGCGCAAAATAACGATGCGTAGGTGAAAGTAGTTTGCGTATGCAGCGCGATTACGACCAGTTTTTCAATGGATTCTCTCGGATGAAATGGAAAAGCTAATTGTTATTAAGCAGCTACGAGCATATTCTACGAGAAATCATCTCTGCTTTCTTTACTCAAAATGAAAGATTAACTTTTACATACGTATTTCAGAATGTTTTCAACAAAGAAGTAATAATACAAAGCATTGAAAATCCATCACCCGACGCGACAATCGAAGACATGTCAACAGTATCGTCGTCGACGCCTCGATTATCATCATCTGGCCATTCGCATTGTTCAACGACGATCGACGATTCTCTCACTCTGCAGCAAAATTACGAGCTCGACGACAATGGAAAGGTTGCATTACAGTTACACTCGAAATATGAATAAAATGTATAACGTTGATAAAGCTCATTTTAACTTATTCAGACGAGATTAACGATTTATCGCAACGGAAGTACGTAAATGATAAATGTCTGGTAGCGAGAAGCACACATTTTCTCATCATTTCGCGATAAGATACATTCCGTAGTTTATTTGTAAATAAAAAATTGGATTTAAGTGGCTGCAGATAGACAAAAAGTACTTCACGTTTGTTTTTCATTCGCCTTGCTATCTTGTCGAAGTGACTATAAGCTACAGGACAATTGATTCGATTTATCTCGCTTTAATCAGACTTCGCAAATTGACTCCCACCTGCCCACCCAACCTTCGTCGAACGACACAATAAAAGAAGCGCACACAAGGCTAATTAGGCGAGCGCATTGTCGGCATTTTCCAAGTTTCAACTATCGACTACTCCGAGGGCGTATACTGCAGCACGCAACTGAATATCCATTCCGATCGCCGCTGAACGAGTGGAAGTCAATTTGCTCTGAACGAGAATTTACAATTTAATTGATTATCCCAAATGAGCTCTCACTGGAGAAAATCGAGCAGTCGCATAATGAGCCGACGCGCGTACAACTGGTATCCCAGTGGATCGAGTTGATTGCTAAAAAGCGAGCAGTTATCCGAGTACCTATAGCACACCCGAGGTACGCTCGTTGCCCTTGCAAGCTCTCCCCGAAAGTGAGGAGAGGATCCGACAGGTCGTGCTACTTCTCCATCGGCGTGCCGTAGAGACGCGCGCGCGGAAGACGAGGACAAAGGCAGCGAATTAGGATGAGCGCCAGTTCGGTAGCCCTTTGTTCACGAGGCTGCAATTTCGTCGCCCTCGCGACAGCGAGCGTGTGCGCGCGCGAGCGGAGCGGCCCTATACATGGCGCTTGCATTTTCGTACTCGACGCCAAGGCTTCTAATTAAAGCCGTCGAACAAACGCGCGCCTGGCTTTATTTCGAATTGCGTTTTCTTTAATAACTGACTTATTCGACGCTACGCACTTTATGGCCAGCTTCTCGCTACAGTGCTCGTTAGCCGGGTTCTTGCAAGTTCGGCAGATTCACGTTATTAAAATTCATTACTGCTTTTTCAAGGTTCATACCATCGATTTTCTTATTACTACCCATGATAAGCTTTCATAACGGCTACGCGGTGTTCCCTCTTTTTTTACTCCAATTTTTTTTTTTCGCAAACTATTCTATTACAACTTGTCTCGCACGCTCGCGCGTTCGATAAAAAGTTTTTGATATGCAAGAAGTTCGGCAACTCCTGTACGTGGCAGTCTGTCTTCATTGAATGATGAACTATTTCAATTTTATTCAAAGCCACACAGATTCAAATTACAATTTTTTTTCCTCGCGGGGGGCGACATAGTGCGTACCAAAAGAAAAAAACTTTCGTGAACAGCGATAATGAAAATTAAAGCGAAACTACGCACGTCTCTGAAAATCAATATTAAAGTTTAAAAAAAGAGAGAAGGTGGAATACCCAAAGGTTGCAAACAAGCGTCAATCGTTGCTTCGCGCGCGAGCGCAAAGTGGCAATAAATGAGCACCGAAAAGTGCTACCTACACCCGCGCTAAAGCCACAGAAAGAGAGAGAGAGAGAGAGAGAGAGAGAGAGAGAGAGAGAGAGAGAGAGAGAGAGAGAGAGAGAGAGAGAGAGAGAGAGAGAGAGAGAGAGAGAGAGACCCCCAGCCGCAAGATGCTACTCTGTTGAAAGGAAAAAAACAAAAAAATAAACCTCGTTCGCAGAGAGAGCGCACAAAAAAGAAAAACCGTTCCGATCGGCTACGATATACACGAGCGAGAGAGAGAGAGAGAACACATGGAGCGTATAGCGAAGCCAACGAAGTGAACGGGAGAACGGCGAGCTGCGCACACAAATGCACGCGCGCACACACTACTCACGCGCGCGCGCGCGCGCGCACGCTCGCGCGTATACATACACATATACAGCGTGAGAGAAACGGAGGGGGGTAACTCGTCGCGAGAGCGAGCGGCGCCGCCGCCGGTTTCTCTCACAGTTGACGCTCGACCCTCGAACGCTTAGTTTCGTCGACGTCACCGTGCGTATTTTACCTATAGCATAGCATAGTAACATACGTACTTATACGTATAATATCAGTAGCGTGTGTTTGCTTGTTGTCGCTGCTCAGCGTCGTCGTCGTTTCGCGCAACATGCTCATCGCCTACTTCTCGTAACGTGCGTGTGTGACATTTGTGCTTTGTTCTATTTGTAAAAAAATAACATAAGCGAAACGCTCGCGTTATTTTTTTTTTCTTTATCCTCCTGTAGCGGAGCATAAGAGTTCAGTGAGAGAGAAAGAAGGTTCATGGGAAACATGGCGCGTGACCGGTGCATAGCAAGATCGCTCATCTTGGCGATTCTCGTCTTTGACCTCGTCGTATCTTTTATTCTTGCCGGTGAGTTTTTAATTAATATCAGATCAGCAATTCATTTGATTTGTTTAAGACGGTATAGTTTGTGTTGTGATTATGTCTTTAGGTTCTTATAGATATAAGCATTGACAAATTCGCAGATTGCGGTTTTGTCGAGCGATGTGAATTTAAAATTCTCCAAAATAAGTACTTCGTCACACGCGCGAATCCGTTTTTGTGGTTTCGCTTCTGCGCATTTTTGTTTTCGCAGTATTACGGGAAGTGTTTGTGCAGTGTATATGCATGTGTGCTCAAGTGTGGTTTTCAGATGAAACAGCTGTTGAATAACAAGAGCACGCGAGGACATTCCTGCGAATTTCCGAATAGCTCGCTCCGGTCAAAATTGATCGGGCAAGCTAATTGCGGTATTGTGCGACGTGCAAGACTTTTTTTTTACTTACTCGCGCGGGACACGCGGAGCTATATATTGATCCTCTCTCCTGCTTTTACATTGGTAATTAAAGCGAGTCGAATGGCTTCTGACTGATTGACGTGTTAATAATGCTTTGTCTCCTTTTTTTACTTCCTATTGCTCTTCGACCATGAAATTAATGTAATGTTTCTTAAATTAGATTTTGTATTCGATAATGAAGATTGTTTGAGAAAGAAAGTGTTTTTTATCCTGACGTTTGTGTTATCAGTTGGTCGGATAAAAGAAACAAGCCGAATAAAAATTGCCACGATAAGCTCTTTATACGCCAGAGCAGGAGATAACGATAAAAAAACGACAATTCGTGCTGATAGCGTAGGACGTATCCTTTAAACCTTACCGAAATCTCAGCCAAAATTCCCCTGACTGGAAAGTTCACATCCTCGATTAAGAGCAGAAAAAAGTAAAACAGAATACTCTTGCGCTCTCAAATCGATACTTAAGAAAGAAAGACGGCCTCGTATCGTTTTCGAGGGATCTTGACGAGAAAAAAAATTAAAAGAGACGAACCGTTGGGGAGCATCTTAGACACAGTGAAGAGAGAGAGAGAGAGAGAGAGAGAGCGAAATATACTCTGCGAAGGGAAAAGAGAAAGCCCATATATCGGTTAAAAATATAAATATTCAAGCAAACCACATAACCGAAAAATTATAAATAAGGCGCGAGCGCGAAAGCGTGTATTATTGTGATTATCCGTCTTTCATTTTAGTCGAGCCCTCCCCCCGTTTATTTTTTATTTTCTCTTTCTTTCGTTCGAGCGATCACACGGCGCGGCGCGCGAGAACGCAATTCGGTTTTATTGGTTTCGACGTGGCCCGCCGCGCAACGCTGGCGGATGTTTTATTAGCTTTTATTTATGAGCGTCGGGACTTTAATTTGTTCGGTTGAGTTGGGTTATCTGGAGTCGTGGTGCTGAAAGCGAGCAATAGGTTACACGCGTGATTTTCGTGAACGTTATTAGCCCGTGCTTGCAGAAGCGGCTGCGTCAGCGCGACAAACTGCCAGCATGTAAAATTGAAGTAAAATAAAGTGGTGAAGGCGATAAGCCAAGAGCTTGCGTCGTTGAACAAAAGTGCGCTCCGCGTGCGTACACGCACTCGGCCTACTCCGGCAAGCCAGGCGGAAACGCGGGGAGGACGACGATGAAAAAAAGAAAAAAGGATCACTTGAGCGGAGACACAGCCTGGAGAGATTGCCGTTGGGCGCATTGGCACAAAAAGAAGGCATCGCCCGAGAGACGCGCGAGAGGGGAGGGGCGAAGAGCCACGACAGAAATGCAGAAAACAGCGAGAAGAGACAGGCCTATGGGCAGGGGAGAGAGAAAAAACGGCGCACATGTGTGCGTTCGTGTCTGAGGAGGAAAAAGTCCACCGTTGCAGTAGCAGCAGCAGCAGCCTGTTGAATGCCGGCCGGCGCACACGTGCATCGCGATGTGCAAATACGTGTGGGCGCACGGTCTAGCTGCAGCGGCGCGCTCCGATTTCGCTGACGAGGCGGGCCAATTTTCCCTTCTAGCGATATATATACGTGCTCCTTTCTCTCTCTCTCTCTCGCTGGCATTTTCGCAATTTGCCTGCATCGCCTCTCACTCACTGTCCGTTTCCTTTGCTCTTTCCTTTTCAGAGAGAGATCCATTTTATTGACGCTCGCAAGAGAGATATAAGCGAGCGAGTGTGCAGCGGAAGGTGCAGTCGTCGACGTGATTCATAGATATGTGCGCGCGCGCGCCTCGTCGATTTTTCGGTGCTGCGCGTGGGCCGGAAGTCGACGCTTGAAATTTCGACGTGGCGATTATTCGCGATGTGTAAGCGGTCTTCCAAGCGCTAGGCATTGTCGTATTAGGACTGGAAGCGCGGTCTGAAATTCTTTCGCAGGCGTTACTTTCTGCTCACCTGCATACTTAGCCATTCTGCTTTTGCGAAATTCGATAAGCCTGGCAGAGGCCGGATTATAAATGGAAAGCCGTGTAAACAGAGCGTGAAGAAAGCAACGGCAAACTAGAAAATGTCCGACGGAAAGTAGACGCGGCTATCGAAAGAAGAGCTCGTTACAGTTCCGAAGCCCGTAAGCTCAAGGCCAGCGCCGAAAAAGAAAAGGGGAGAGAGAGGAAAACAGCAGGGCTTTTATCAACGCTCTCGCGGTTTTCGTCGTCGCAACGTGAACGTGGCGCCGAAATTTCCACACGGCATACCGACTGTCGATCGCGATGCAACGTGCGTATAATGCGTCTTGCTGGCCGCCTAACGCGGTGCGTCAAGGCGTGTATGTAGGTGAGGCAAACAGGCAAAAGGCGTTGACGTGACTTCCTCTTATAAAGTTGCGCGCGAAAGAGCAACGTGACTGATGTGAGTAATTACTAGCCCTGCGCGCCCGTTGCCAATGCGATTTCTCCTCGGATGTACACGATGTGCTTTCGGATATTAAAAACTCTGCTGCTCACTCGCTCGTGCGGGTGAACGATGCTTCATTTTTTTCCTGCGAGATCAATTACGTCGTTCGCCTTCCCCAAACGATGATTTTTATGAATAAATTACGGGAATTATGTTTTTTTTCCTCCGTGTGAAGAGGATTTCACCGTAATAACGTACGAGTAGTGCTCTACACGGTGTGATAATCATAGATATCATTCTGAAAATGTTAACGCACGCGATTACGTTGGGAAGGTTTGCCCTCACAGTTAAGTAATAATTTTATTACATCGAAACTCATTTTGATGATATAGCAGGCTGTGTAATGAAAAGGATGTTAAGGTATGCAGAAGTGTTTCGTTGTGTTGACAATTCGCATGTAAGCGACGCGGATTATATACGCTTGTATAATTAAAATTGTCATCCTCCATAGCTGAACGAAGGTGAGAACCGATCCAACTTTGTAAATAAATTATAGCCAACAACTGAATGTTGTCCTAACGTTTCGCTGAACTGATTGTCAGCCTCGTTAGGACAAGGAAAACTTGATATAAATACACGTCGATAAAATATTTTGATAGTACATATATGTGGTCGACTATTCGCCGTTCGCAGATACGGTCGATGGTAGGCCATCTAGGAGCGAGATGCACGGATCTTTGTGTTTCATGCTAGCCGAGGACGCCGCACTCGCTAAATATCAAGTAGCGCTTAATCGGTAAATCGAAGGTTGTTCTAAACAACATTGTTCTACTTACATAATCACAGCTCTGACTGAACAGACGTTCCCGCGAGCAAAAAAATGATTCCATCCGTTTTCGTGCAGTCGTGTGCGCGTCGATTATAGAAAAGCGCGACAAAGGCAAGCTGCGAAAACAATCGCGTTGAATAATAAGTTAAATCCTGTGCAAACAATGGCAAGTGAAATAACATCCCAGACACGTATCGAAGCGTGTGATATCCTGACGAAACACTAGAACTCCTAATAGGGGCAAACCTCCAATTGATTATGTCGATGCATCACGAGAATGACGACTGAAACGTGAAGGTCGTCTGCAAATGATGTTTGCAGGCTGTTGTCCTTAAGTGTACGTATTGTTCGACTGCACTTGACGACTGCTTTATAGATTGTTTCAAAGAATAGACGTTTTTTTTCGCAGAAATGTTTTTCGAGCTCGCGACTGGCTGTAAAATTATTCGCGCTCAATAGTCTGAATGAACGTCATTTGTCGTATTTCATTGCTGGCAATTGAAGAGTTGCATCATTATACGTCCGCTGAATGAAAGCTTGCGTTGCTCTCTTTTGTAGGACACAATTGATTCGGTAGCATTGCCGCTGTATACGGCGGAGCGCGCGCGAAAAATATACATTTCAATGGATGACACGTCGCTTTTTAAAGAACTTGACGTTTCGCGTGAGATGACAATTCGAATGGGATGGCAATTCATCGCTCGACATTCGAAACAAAGCGAGCGATCGGAGCAGCACAGTCCCAAATCCGCTCGAAGTTCCGCGAATGCGCGAAAACGAGTTTACGAAAGAGCCGCGGAGGCGATCGCTTCGTCGTCGTAAAAAGCCAAATCGCGGTCCAACCGGCCAGCTCACCTCGGCCCACGTTTCGCCTCGACGCCGCGCTGTCACTCGAGAGGCTAGCGGCCTCGCGTTCGATTTTTCAACTGTTCGCTCTAAAAAAAACAGCAACAAAAGCTACGTATCTTTGTTCTTCGATGAACTTCCATGTTTCTCCCCGAGAGTAGGAGGAGCGGAGATTGAAAATTTATCGCGGAGGCGGGGGCAATTTTCGCGTATGCGAGGCGCGCAACAGTTTGCGCGCGTACAAAAGATTTCAATTTATACCGGTATACAAAGACGTTATTATTGCTGAAAGAAACGTTCATTATTTCTTTCTTTTTCTCGTGGTTCTTCTGATAACATTGTTATTTTTATAACGTCTCTTTCTTCTTTGAAAAGGAATCGTTTTGAAAGTTAGCTAGTCGATTTTATTCAACGCTATAATTAACGGAAATTATATAGATCGGTATTCATCTGTAGTTAATCCGCCCTTTATGATAAAAGCACTCTTCCTCGTATTCACTGTCATTATCCATAATCAATGGTATGGTATTCGAGCCAATTAAATACTGAA